GCAATCTAAGCCCATCAGAGGGAGCTTCCACATTGCTTATTAAAAAAACCAATAGAGGGAGCTATCCATTCAATTTCTAAAAGTTAAGTTAACTTTGGATTGAATTCATTGTGGATAGGCTAATGATCTTGAACTCGAACAAACACACAAAACAAACCATCTCTTGCTGTTTTTATGCAGAAGTTATCCAAACATTTATACATGAACACAAATACATTCTATAAAGTATGCGGTAGAATGTTGACGCATGATAGAGAATAGAAAAACTATATTAAACCAATAACACTAGAATCCATTTTTAGTGAGCAATGAGAATGACTGATGAATTAGACAAGAATACTAATTGAGGAAGGAAAGGTCAAAAGAGAGACTCTGAATGAGTATTTGGCATTCACACTCATACAGCTGGAAACCTTTTCCTTTTAGTTAATATACCAGCCAAAGACATATCCATGACAAGCTTTCGGAGATACTTTATATGCACAGGGTACTTACTGAATAGCACGTGACCTATGTGAATGGTTATCCACAAGCACTGTATACAGAGATAGATAAGAGGAAATCTACCCCACCCTTTATGTAGTATGGTGAGGGTTGAGTGTCAAGCGGCCCTTTGTGAGTGAATTGCAAAAAATGGCATATTTTCAGCCGGCTCTGGAGAATAACTATTCCTAAATTGTAGGTTACACACTAGTCACCTGAATCTCAATTAGGCATCAATTTAGCACTCAAAGGATCCACATAACTTCCTAAGCATAGCAGGGAAGAAAGGATGCTTAGAACCAGAGTCGGCGTAATACAGCCCAATTGCTATTTATACCTCTACAAAAGAAAACATTCATTCTTCTGTTGTCTTATGAGCATGTTCAATAATCTCCACTATAGTAAAAGAGGGAATGGTCTAAGGAAAGACAAAAACTGAATCTGCTTCATCGTCCATCCATTATATTTTGGTTAATCTATAAAATGGCTTCTTGGTCTAATCCAATCTTAACATCACTATATCCTGCTCTATATACATATTCCTAGGTGCATTTGCCTTGGCGTGCTTCTAGTAAGTAGTAACAAGTAACAACATCTATATCTCTTTTTTAATAACCCTGGTGTCCGGGCCAGCTTGCGTGCACCTCAACTGATTCCACGTGATACCTGCTATCTCCTACTAGCAATAGGTACAAGGTAACTCTGTCGAAACAGATGGGAAAAATCACCTAGTATTTTTGTCTTCGTTGGGATTTGAACCTGAGACCTCATGGTTCTCAACCCACTTCATTGACAACTAGGCCATACCCTTGGGTGCTACAACATCTATATCTTTGAAGTAAAAATTACATAACTGTCCCAGTTAAAAATTACTCCTACAAGATTTCAGCTAAAATGCATTCGGAATATTGCCGAACTTGGCATTGGTTTCCCTCTCTCTACGAGAAAAGACTCTCATGTCAACTCTTCTCTCTTTTTTGCTCGATTACATGTGATTTAAAGTTCTATTGACAATTAACATCGTCCTCAATTAGTAAATAATAATAACAACGAATAGATGAACTATAATTCATAAGCGAAAATATCAAGATGAATTACAGAGTTTAAGTTATGTGCATTGACGGCGTATAAATTTTTTAGACCATCGACCTATAGCAGTAGGTAAACTGTTCATGTCAAGTCTAATATGGTAACCTGGAAAATATGTTGATAACCTGCTATAACCAACTAAATTGCATTGATGGTGTAAAAATTGCAGTGATATTAGCCAATGCTAAAAATGAAATATTTTGATAATTTTCACATTTAAAGAATCTATATTAGCACTAATAACCAGGATAAAATTGAAAAAGGGATATAGGTAGGCTATTAATCCTCCTACTATTGGCACACTGACGCAGAAATTTTTTCATATTTCGATTTTTACTGTTGCTTAATCTTTATTTGTAAAACTACCAAGAAAAAAGCTACTCCATTAAATCACAAGCTTTAAATCGTATTTTACCTGCTGCAGTTTCGGCCGCCGTTGAATGTTTGAGATTCCGATAATATGCCGGAAATGGCTTTGCAGATTCCGGCACGTTCACCTGCGGCGGAGGTAAATGAACAGTTTAACGGGAAGGGAGTTATTTGAAAAACAGTAAAAAGTTAGGGTTTTACAGAGATTTTTACCGGCCATTAAAGCAGAAATTGAAGCAGCGAGTCTCGGCTTCATTTTCACAGGTTGCAAATTGCAATGAACATTTTGCAAGAAGGGACTCTCATTAAAAGCAAAAGTTACTCCTACTTCCCTCTTAAGCTTCGGAGATGTTGGGAAATAGGCCCAAAACTTTGCACGGGGTGCGTACAGATCCCAAATCCTTGTGACAATTTTTCGATTCTTTTTCATGTAGTTAATAGGGATTAAGAAAGGATGCTAGTAATGAACCCGTGTACCGCAACCAGAGTTACAACCTCTTATCTACTGAGTTAAAAACAAAACAAAATTATAAGTTTTAACCTGTCATAACTAGAAAAGGATGCGGACACAACGGTGAAAAAAAAGTGAACTGAAAAAAGAACTTAAAAGGAATGTTTTGGTAATTATTTAAACATGGCATTCTAATGATGACCATAAAATTGTATGGGTTAAAAATTATCTCTAATATGATCAAACCATGTTAACATTAAGGAGGTATTCACATACTGCCATATGTCACTAATACGACTCTAATGGGGACCTGCCCAAGGTCGAAGTGGTTCCATAAATGATGAATGCGGTCAAGGAGTCAACAAGGATCAAGGTCGAGGTCGAGCATCCTAGACAGAGTTATAACAACTAGTTTTAAGATAGGACACTAAAGAGAATATTCTAGTGGATATTCTTACCTGTACTATTAGGGTTTCTAGAAATATGTCCTATATAAATAGAAAGAGACATAATGATAGGGGACAAGAGATATTCACTTGTAAGAAAATACATTGACTTTATAGAAAGAATCTGACCATATTACAAGCATACAAAAATAACATTTTTACTAAGATTCTTTCTAACTTTTCCACTTGATCCAAGAACAACCTAATTGTTCTAAGGCTCATCAATCATTCTTCATTGTCAAAAAGAATATCCACGGATCACACCCCTTTTCGGATGACTCACACGTTTTTATTTTCTTAAATGTCATTTATTACTATTTAATGCTATCTTCCACCTTGTTGGATCATTGAATATTGTTATTAGTGGTCACATTCATTACTATTTGGTCAAATATACATATTATCTGTCATAAAACCAATAATCTTATCTTTTGAATATTATTATTAGCTAAGATTGACTCTTCTTTATTTAAATCTAATTAGTTGAACCAAGATCTGTATTTTGAGTCAAACCGTTTGACACTGTAGGAACTTCTTAGTAAATTTTTTAGTTTCCTTTATATCTATAATTAACGTGAGTCACTAACCTAACAAACCCCAAGATCTTTTTTTTTTTTTTTTGCATGTACGGAAACCTACATGGCAGGTAACCAAGAAGATAGGACTAAAGTGACATGTGATTTCCCTGGCAACCACATGAACGCTATCAACGAGAGCTGTGAAACATTAGGCGATGATGTGACACTCATTGCCTCCCCCAGGCGCGAGAGGTCACCTCCCCCCCATTGTAGCATAACAAAACCAAATGAAAAAAGGGCCTCCACGTCCACAGGAGAGGGGACACCACCGGCCATGAAAAATCTCCTCGAAGCGTGGTTGTCTGATACGCTAGTAAGCGTGTTCAACAAGCCCACTCCATGCATGACTACAGAGACCGCAAGAGCCCACATAGTTCAACGAGCAGACGAACAGGGCGGCCAACCAGACCCTCCAATGCCAGGTATAACTCATAATGTTACTAACAATGCAGGTGACAACGTCCTCGCCGTTGTTCTAAAGAGGATGAAGAAATGGAGAATGAAAATAAAGCGCTCAGAGATCAAACGAAAGAACACCAAGAACGAGTCGACAAGATACCAGGCGCCCCTAATCTACTACCAAAGAGGGACGCCGGTAGATTCGTAGAGCAGCCGTACAACGAGGAAGTAGCCTCGCATGCCATACCAAAGACCTTCAAAATGCCACCTTATCTCAGGATATACGACGGAATGACTGAACCCGAAGATCACGTGACTCATTATGTTACCGTCGTGAAGGGCAACGACCTCACCAAGGAACAAGTGTCCTCTATTTTATTGAAGAAATTTAGCGAAACCCTTATGGGAGGGGCATTAACATGGTACTCACAGCTACTAGCCCTCTCCATAGAAACCTTCGAAGAAATGACCGATAAGTTCGTAACGGTGCATGTCGAAGCCAAGAAAGTTGAAATAAGAGTAAACGACATATTTGCCATCAAGCAGCCCCTAGGAGAGGGACTGAGGGATTTCCTCGCCCGATTCAATAGGGTAAGAATGACCCTACCAAACGTGTCCGAGGGGATGACGGTCACGACTTTTCAGAATGGGTTGAGTAGAGAGGGTTAAAGAGCAACCAGAAAACTGCTGAGCCGGTTGATGAAATATCCTCCAACCACTTGGGACGAAATCTATAATGCCTACTATGCCGAAGTCCAAGCAGATGATGATGACCTCAACGGACCAACTCGACGACTCATCTCGATACAAGCCGAGCCCAGGAAAGAACGAAGAGATAACATAAGGAGGGATCACCCGGTATCACAGCCCAACAGGGAATAATATCAGCCATATGTTAGAGCCCCCGCGCCGCCTGCTTTCTGCTATGGTGAAGGCTCATCCAGGCCGAGGACGGGGACTTACCGGAATGAGAGAGGTATGGCTCCCTTATTATCTGCTCACAATTTTTGTGTGTCACCTACAAAAATAGTCTATGCTCTGGAAAAACTCGGAACGAAGGTGAAATGGTCGCCCGAGATGAGGTCCAATCCGAGCACTAGAAAATCCGATGGCCTTTGAAAATTCCACCAGGAGCGCGGACACAAGATAGAAAATTGCATCGCCCTCAGGCAAGAAGTTGTGAACATGTTGCAACAGGGACACATCAAAGAGTTGCTGAGCAACAAGGGGAGAAATAACTTAGCTAGAGGATGTGAACGTCAAGGCCCGCCGAAGCCACCATCACCAGCTCACACTATCAACATAATCATCAGTGGCAACGATAATGCCTCCATCAACGAAGTTAAATTCACTGTCACTCACAAGCTCAAAAGATCTACCACCCACGAACGGTATAACATACTTGAAGAAAGTATCATCTTTGACGAATCAGATGCCGACGGTTTGACTCCTCACAAAGATGCTCTCGTCAGTTCTTTGCATATTTTATATAGTAATGTCAAACGTATCATGGTGGACGATGGGAGTAGAGCGTGCATTATCCATCCCCTAGTCCTCACCCAGATGAGACTCGAGGACAAGATAGTGCCACGCTACATCATACTAACTGATTTTAATAATGTAGTTGAACGGACATTGGGAGAAATTACACTCCCCGTCTTGGCCGGCAGCATAACGCTGGAGATGACATTCCACATCATGGACCAGGCCACCGCATATAATTCCATAGTAGGATGACTATGGATACATCCCATGAGAGTTGTCCCCTCCAGCTTATTCCAAGTAATCAAATTTCCAACAGCTTGGGGGATATTCAACATACGGGGAGAACATCGCACGTCCCGGGAATGCTACCGCATCTCCTTAGACAACACGACAACCTAACAGAAAAAAGACATGGAGAAAGAGGCATACCAATCAACAAGGTCGAGGTTGACACAAGAAGAGACCAGGTACGTCATTATGGATCCTGAAATAGTTGAAGCCGCGGACCTGACTATAGAGGATCTCGAACCCGTTCAATTAGATCCCCGCGACTACAACAAAAGGGCCTACATCAACTGCAAACTCCAAGAACCAGTAAGGCAGGCCAGACAAAAATTCAACCCCTCCATCAACGATGCTGTCCATAAAGAGGTGGCTAAGCTATTAGAAAATGGCTTCATCCGGGAGTTGAAATACCCCAAGTGGATCGCCAATGTAGTGATAGTCAAAACAAAAAACGGGAAATGGCAGATGTGCGTAGACTTCACGAACTTGAACAAAGCATGTCCGAAGGATTCGTTCCTGTTACCACATATCGACCAACTCATCGACGCAATGGCCGGGCACGAGCTGTTGAGTTTTTTGGACGCGTACTCGGGCTATAATCAGACACTTATGGAAGAAGAGGACCAGGAGAAAAACATGTTCATCCCCCACTGAGGAACATATTATTATAAGGTCATGCCATTTGGGCTGAAGAACGCATGGCTACCTATCAAAGATTGGTCACAAAAATGTTCAAAGATCAGCTTGGCAAGACCATGGAGGTATATATCGATGATATGCTAGTCAAATCCGTACGTAGAGGACCATATCGACCATTTGAATTAAGCTTTCGACATGCTGAGATGGTACATAATGAAACTAAACCCAGAGAAATGCGTGTTTGGCGTAGCCTCGGGAAAGTTCTTGGGCTTCTTAGTGTCGCAATGGGGGATGGAGGTCAATCCAGACCAAATCAAAGGTATCGAAGGGATACCAGAACTCATGACTACCAAGAAGCAAGTCCAAAGGTTGACTGGTTGAATCGTCGCCTTATCGAGATTCATCTCGTGGTCATATGATAGATGTCATAAATTTTTTGGCATACTAAAAAGGATAACGACCTCGAATAGATGGCTGAGTGCATACATGCTCTGCGAGAACTGAAGGCGTTTCTGTCATCACCACCTCTAATCTCAAAGCCCAAAACCGGGGAACATCTCCTCATTTACCTGGCCGTCTCCGAAGTGGCAGTAAGTGCAGTCCTAATCCGAGAAAGTAAAGGTATGCAATCTCCCATTTTACATTAGCATACAATGGACATACAGTGGACCTCTGGAGAAATGTTTGGGCCTAAACCAAACCCAACACGTCCTCGAAGAAGTCCATGAAGGCCATTACGACGCTCACTCCGGCAATCGAGCACTCATTAGATGTCTCATACGGGCAGGATACTATTGGCCCACCATGAAAAAGGATGCCTCATAATTTGTGAAGAAATGCGAACAATGTCAGAAATACGCCCCAATAATTCACCAAGCAGGCGAACATCTCCACTCAGTCACCTCTCCGTGGCCGTTCATCAAGTGGGGATTGGACATCGTGGGTCCCCTCCCATCAGGGTGAGGTAATGTATGATTCCTTTTGGTTTTAGTTGACTATTTTTCTAAATGGGTGGAAGCAGGAGCGTTCGCCCAAATACGCGAGCAAGAGGTAATCCCCTTTATATAGAGAAACAACATCTGCCGATTTGGCCTACTGATAAGTGGGAATTTTGACTACTTATTAGCGCCTTTTAGCTTTCGTTTTAGCCCAAAGGCGTTTAATTGTGTTTCCGAAAACTGATACAATATGCTTAATTGCAGGAATATTGGAAAATGAGCCACTAAGATGAAATCTAACTCATGAAGGAGTGATCTGAACTCAAGAACAAAAACAGGCACAAAAGTTCAAAGTGCGGACCGTAGAATATCATCTGCAATCGCAGATTGTGAAGGCAAGCTTATCGGAGACAAATGAAAAATGCGGTCCGCACATGAAATGTGCGACCGCAGAAGCTAAGCAAGATCAGAAGTTCAGAGAGTTCTCATTTCAAGCTAAAAGGAAGTGCGGACCGCATAATTATTGTGCAGCCGCAGAAGATCAGTTGTGCGGCCGCAACAACATTTGTGCGGTCCGTAGAAGAGCCATGTGCGGCCTCACTCAGAAATGTTCGGACTGCAGAAAGGGAGAGATGCGGCCGCGATTCAGAATTGTGTGGCCGCAAAAGTCCAATCCTGCCAAGCTGAAGAAAAGTGCGGACAACACATGGAATTGTGCGGCCGCAGAACCTCCGTAAGGGCAATTTTGTCCGAAAATTCCAGCACTGTATAAATAGAATAGTTTCACCTTTTTAGGGCAACTTTGGTAACTTTTGACATCAGCAGCCATTTACTTTGCTTCTTTTAGTAGATTTAGCTATTTTTAGCTTTTTGAATATTAGTTTTATCATTTTAGTCATTAATATGGTTTTAATTATCACTTCTTCTTCTTTATCTTCTAATTTAAGCATGAGTAGCTAGATTTTCACTAGGGTTGTGACCCAACCCTAGTGTGTAACTTGACGGGTGTTTGATTTATTGCTTGTTTATGGTTGGGTGTTGATTATCTAGCCTTGTTCTTGCTTTTAATTGAAGATGTAATGGTTGCAAAAATTATTTCATGCCTAATTGACTGGGTCTCTACTTGAAAAAGAGAGACTTAGTCTAGGAAAACTTGGCTAGCAAGGAATTGGGTCAATCGAGAGATTGATAAACCCAATTAATGGGTTAAATCTAGAGATAGTAAAATCCGACTTGAGCTTATTATCAACTGCTTTGTTCAATACCCATTTGGACTTGAGAAAGCCAAATTGGGCAAAATCACTCTCTGACCGAGAGGTATTCAGTGTGTATTTGAGTGTTGATGTCTATAATACACCCCGACCAATAAAACAAGCTTTAAGGCTTACAACCCATTAAGCGAACACCTAGATAAAGGTCATAGCCCTAGGCCTTTTATAACATTTGAAAAACAACCAAAAATAATATCCTAGTTTAAATTCTTAGTTTGTAATCTTAGTTTAAAATTAGACCTAGAAACAACCAAAGTTTGTGGAAGTGTAATTTGAGATAATTCAAACTCATACACTATAATATATATCCCTAAGACCCATTCATAGCTCCTTGTGGAAAATCGACCCCGACTCCTTGTTGGGTATTACTATTGCATCGACCGTTTTCATATCCTCAAATAGAGGAGTGAAATTGGACGAGATCACCAACCTAAGGAGATCAACTGCGACAACGGACTCCACTTCACAAAAAAAAAACAGTCAAATTCTTCGAGAAATGGCATATTAAGAGGATACTTTCAACCCGTATCACCCGGCAGGTAACGGGCAGGTAGAATCCTCCAACAAGTTCATATTAAACATCATGAAGAGAAAGCTCGAAGACGCTAAGGGACTGTGGCCGGAGATACTCCCAAAAGTATTATGGGCGTATAAAACAATCCCGAAGACGAGCCAAGAGAGACACCCTACTCTCTGGTCCATGGGATCGAAGCAGTCATACCAGTCGAAGTCGGAGAACCCAGCCAAGGTACTCCCATGAAAGCGGTACTAGTAATGACGAGAGTAGAAGGCAGGAACTCGATGAGATCGACGAACAAAGAGATATGACATACATAAGGATGGTCGCCCAAAAGCAACAGAATGTTACTACAATAAGAAAGAAAAGGTTCGGCCGTTTATAGTCGGGGATTACGTACTGAAAGCCAAAAGTCAAGCAAGCAAAGACCCGCGGGAAGGCAAACTAGGAACGAACTAAGACGACCCTTACAAAATTACAGCCAAAGCAAACAAGAGTTCGTTCCAATTAGAGACGATGGAAGGAAAACAATTACCAAACAATTGGAATATCAACCACCTCAAATACTTCAACTTCTAAAAGGAAGAGGTGTCCCTAAGTCGTATTCTTTTTCCCCCACTTGAGTTTTGTCCCATTAGGGTTTTCTTAAGGAGGTTTTTAACGAGGCGACAAAAGGGGCACTTCGAATCAAAGTATGCAGGGGAGGGACTGTTTTTCTGTTTCATTGCCCGACTCCTTAATATTCTCCAAGTCAAGCAATGAAAGGACAAAATAGATTGTGAATGGGACTGGAATGCTAGCCAATGCCAAAACTTTATAACTTTCTCTAATCATGTAATCAGAGAAACAACGTCAAAGTAATAAGAAACTTACGTTTATCAGAAATACCTCAACAAAGGGCTAAGTTCGACCCTGCTCGAATAACACTTGTCGGCCCTCGGCCGCGCCATTAATAAAAGGTTAAGTTCGACCCGACTCGAACAACACCTATCGGCCCTCGGCCACACATTAACAAAAGGTTAAGTTCGACCCAACTCGGACAACACCTATTGGCCTCGCCTGCACATTAACAAAAGGTTAAGTTCGACCCAGCTCGAACAACACTTGTTGGCCCTCATCCGCACATTAACAAAAGGTTAAGTTCGACCCAGCTCGAACAACACTTGTTGGCCCTCATCCGCACATTAACAAAAGGTTAAGTTCGAGTTGAACAACACCTATCGGCCCTCGGCCGCACATTAATAAAAGGTATAAGTTTGACCCAGCTCAAACAATACCTATTGGCTTAATAAAAGATCAAGTTAGACCCAACTCGAACAACACCAGCAAAAGGTTAAAATTTGACTAAGTTCGAGCAACATCTACCGGCCCTCGACCGCGATTTAAAGAGGTTAAGTTCGACCAAGTTCAAATGACACCTATCGGCCCTCGGTCACATTTCGATAGAAGGTTAAACTTAACCGAACAAAAATCTAAGTCCTACCAAGTTCAAACCTAACCGATCGATCCGCAGACATACTCGATCTATACGGACAAAGGGGTAATTCAGCCCATAGCTATTAAATCCAAAGGCTACAACCAGTCAAAGTACAACAATGAAAG